TGCACTGACCATAAATGTAACCGTAACCGTAATCGTAACCATCTGACGTCATCCGTTTGTTCAACAAGCATTCAGTGGCGTAATCCCAACAGAGTCTTTATACTAAGTTTTTTGCAGATTGTTGAAAGGTCGCACGACTCTTCGTGCGACATATAACCCTAAACATTCCTTTCTAAATGCTGTCGTTGCATATACAGAGGGTGAATTCATGCTGATATAATTAAATGTTATTATTATTAAAGTCAGGAAATACTCTAGAAGATTACTGTTTTGTCTTGATTGAAACACACAACCGCAAGAAGTTGTGTTTCCAACCCCAAGAAACATCACAGGTTCTTTGGGCTGAATCTTCATATCAAAAGTTTAAACAGACAACGTGACGATTGTCTGATATACTAGGCCGTTGGCACTGACGCTGGTCTTTGGGAGGCGTGGAATAGGTCACACGTCGTCGTTCGGCAGTGATTGTGAAGCGTTTTCTCCCCGTGCGGCACGGGCTGGCGTCGTCGCCGCTGGCGATCTCATTGACGATACTGTCTTTTGGGAGTAGTCTGCTTCTGCAACGCAAGGTATCGGAAGCTTTCCCTCTTCCGCCAAACGTGGCCGTCACTTGACTCGATATATGGATGTTTGGCGGGTTGTTTAAGCTTTCCAACTTGTGGAGAAGACCAAGCATGGCTGTATTCGTCTTTGTCGACGCCCGGCTTTAAAGCCGTCCTTGTTTTCGGTTGCATTAGTTGTGCTGGCGACTCCACTTGACTCGGCAAGTTTTTCGAGCTTCTATTTGGCGTGTTCGCATCTCTGCCGCGGGCGTGTCACTGTCGCCAGGCTTGGAAGGAGCCGTTCCTCGTCGGCGTCTCTCTTAATGTCATGTACGACGTCTCTCGCTCCACCCTTGGTCCCAAATGATACAAGCTCCTTTTTTTAGGTACCCTTGATATATTGGGACATGTGTATGTCCCATTTCGGGTAGGGGTGGTGTCATGGGGTGGTAGACCCATTACGTAGTTTGCGTGGTATACTCTTCGAAACTGGTCAACTTGGTGTACACTACGCTAGTCAGTAGATGGTTACAATTAGGTACGTGTATTTCTGCTTTTAGGCTAAGATTAGATTTAGGGAAAGACCATCTATAATATATTCACTCTTCATTTTGATTAAGAGATTCACATACGGTTGTGGTGAAAGGGGCGCGTAAGACAGCAACACGAAAATACTAAGCACCAAGGTAAGGCTTCCTCAGCTCAAGAGTGCGTGTAGCCAGCTGTATCAAATTAGCCGAATTTCCTTAGCACTGAACGAGCGGTATCCATTGCTTATTCGAGCCATCCAACAGGGTATCAAACCTCTAGATCGGTGTCATTTTATGATATTCACAATATGAAGGACCACTACCACACTGGAAATCGTGCTGGTAAACGCTGCAGTATTTCCGCATAGGGTAAAGAATACGATTGATTGAATCGACATAGGAGTCTGGGCTTCTCGTGGCGAATTAGGTACTTCATCTCAGCCGCGAAAAGCAGGCGAAAAGCAATAACCCTTCATGCCTATTGGCATCTGCTAAGAGTAAACAGAGCCTATATATATAAAGCGTCGCTGTAACACGGTAAATCAGATCTTGTATTTAGCCCCTCGAACAATTGTAAGGTTGTTAAATACTATATGATACACTCGTGCTAAATAATATCGCGCTTTGATTTGATTATGAATATTCATAAAAACCGTAATTTTTATAGTCGTAGAGAAATTATCGCTTTGAAACAGAGGGGGTCGTGGTACAAGTAGGCTGCTAGCCGGACGTTAGACACCGAAGTCATTTCTTACCAGAGAAAGCAAGTCGTATATTTGCAATTCGTACTAGCTGAAAAAGCGTTGAATATTTGTACATATGGAATATCAGAGCTGACAAGTCACATCGTTACAGATCTTCTTCTTGTAGAAGCACACGAAACATAATCTTTAATAGGATCTCGCCTTTACGTGATAAGATCGATGCATTTGCCTATTATAAGCGTGCACGAATTCCAATTGATTCAACTTTTGGCACAAAACGTCGGCACGGAGTGGGCGGTTTGCTTTTACCATCCCATATTTTTTTCGGTAGAATATATGAAGTGTCAGTGGCAACACAATGCTTGCTTAGAAAGAGCCTTGGTAAAAACCAGGTGTCTCATCAATCAAGTGCGGAAATTAAGTCAGCATTATGGCGCAGATCATTACCAGCGGCTAATATTCTCTAGGCAATACGTCGTGATATCACTTAAGCAAAGAATTGATAACTTTTTGTAGAAATCTTAAGGATAGCTACCTCACTCCTCGAACTCAATGGTCTACCAGGTTATTCATTGCATGACGAATGATGACCTTAATTTCTGCTCCAACACCAATCGTACCATTCCATCTACTTTGTTTTCTTGCATATCCTTGCACACGTACCCAAAGCTCGCGAGTAGCTCAAATCAGACGTACCCTGGGTAAAATACTTCATCAGATCAATACGAGTATTTGCTGACGGTAGTGGGAAAGGAATCACAACACCTTGGGCTATGTTATCCATTAGCCCATGCTGCTTCTATGTTCGGCCCTTTGGGTTAGTCACACGGTAGTACTGACTCAGCAGTACAGTTACATTGTGACAATGATGATTGATCTATCCTGATTCGTAAGGCCTGGTCCATCTGCTCGCAAGTTAAAGGCGCTATTCAATTCTATCTGCTCTAACACATGAGACTGCGACATGACATGCAATCACTTTCCATCAGCCCCGGATCGGGAGCCAAAAACGTTGCAACGCAACAATGATGCATTCATGAGGTCGGAATATATAGTAACTGCTGTTTTGTTATATCCTCAAACAGCGGCTCGATGCCGCCTCTGTCATCCGGAATCTACTCGAGACACCTAGCAATACCAATGCTGTTACCTTTAGCAATTTAATGTTTTGCACATAGAATACCTCAGCTTTTTGCCCGCGCCAAAAGCACTCCTGATTTCTAAAAAGTAGTTTGCATGACTTGCAAAACCTCTAACAGGATATAATCAACCTTTTCGACTCTTAGTCACCGATGGCTTGTCGCGATAGAAGCGCGTCATAACTAGATGAAATCATTAATCAAATTTAGGTCCGGACAAGACAACGTTTCACGATAGCAAATTTAAAGCTTTGCCTGAGCTTGTACCCGCTCCATGTCACAAGACGCACGTACAGTACTCGGAGTCTTAAATACCTCCGCGTACAGGAAAACATTTTCGACAGTCTCGATATCGCTCGAAAGTTTTGAACTCTTCAAGAATAATCAGCATATCATTTCTTTAATAAGCCCCTGACGTTGAAGTAACAACCAGCAAACTTGGGCTGGAGCCCCACCTGTATTTGAGCAATCAGATTCGTGTACGGCTGGATTCGATTGACCTCGACTTCCATGATGTACAATAACACCTATTTGCTCTGCAGTAAGGCAACATGCGCCTACAAGCCTTCATATCATCTAGCACGGTCGACCCTGTTATTTTCGAACAGCCTAGACAAGGGACACGCAACATTAAAGTATTTCTTTTTTTTGCTCGAGTGATATATATTTAAATACATTTAATTAAATTTTGAACGCTCCTTTTTAAAAAAATATGTACCCACGGGCCCATCGAATTCTCTTCTTCGATACCATCTACTGCACCAGTTCTCGTCACGGTACTCAGGTGTGATACCTTTGAGCTTTGCTTAAAGGTAAAGGGTCAACATTGACTGTTGTTCGTGCAATATGTACACACACCATAACATGGTACGTACTAGCACAACGATCTCATACATTGTTTCAATCATGGTATTTCATCATAGTTCTTTACCAAGACACATTTGAGCATCGCTCTAAGAATATTCTAGTGTCCACGTACATTACAAAAGGGTGCGTAAGAAATATTGCGCGTGACGGCGAACTACGATATCTGCACCTAGACTGTGCAATATTATTCAAACGGTCTTTGCTCTGATAGTACAACGCATTAAACCCCATCATGAGTAACACCTTTTTCATTTCGATAGTTATCTAAGTAAAGAACATTACAAACTTTTGAGGGGCGTCTTACGGAGGCACGAGCTCTTGTAAATTCTTTTCGAGAGCTTTCGTGAGCGATAGAACATCAGCCTCTGTGCTCTTTTCTCCTTCTTGAATCAAAGTTGGAATGATTTTAGGGTAGTAATGTGTCAAAGCCGAAACCATTCGCAAATCCGCTCCATCTGAGTAACAATTTCTCATGTATTCCATCCACGCTCTCGAACAAACACTGTTAAATGAGAAATTCTCCGGGTTCAGAGATCTAAGCAGATCGTGATCCTGGCCATACTTCCATTCTCTGACCAATGCTTTTATCATTGGGTCCGTAACGCTTCTCGGAAAAACACCTTGACAAAGTTGGAGAACTTTTGTATCAGAAAAAATTGTTTTCAACGTAGCTCGTAACTTTTTTGCGGTTTCAGCCCATGCGTTAAAAGTGCCTAACGCATGCGTGCGCTGCATCTTTTACATTCACCGTCTTCAACTGTTGTTCCAGTTTGTAATCCACTAATTCTTTTGTAATCCGTCCGGCATCGCCATCAGCCTTAGAGTGCGCTTCACCAATTTTTTCTTCACTGATTCCTAGTTGCTCTATCTTGTGATACAAGTCACGAGTGCGAGTACTTACTGGTCCTTGAGGCTTCCGAAAGTACCACGTCTGCAAGTTCTGAATTTCAATTACGTCAACAAGGTCGTCGTTGTTGCTGAACAATCCATCCAGCATTTCATTTTGAATTCGTTCACCAATGGCCTTAGAGTCCTTGACAGCCATTAGTCTATCACTAAGAGCAAGGAGTGACTCTTCAAGACTTTCAGCATAACCCATTAACTTCACATCTTTCATAGCCTCTGCGACATATTCCATAAGTGCGACTTCAAAGGATCGCCAAAAGAAAATTTGCCGTCGACAACCTTAATAGTCGGAATGGAGTCGACCAGTAATCCCTTTCGGTATTTTGCCAACGTCGACACCATAAGACGAGCGGCTTCATCTGGATTATCAGGGAAGGCGTCCGCGAAATATTTCGACCACTTTTGAAATTCTTTGCTGTTTGAGAAAACCACTGCCTTATAAGTATTGAGGGTTATGGGTTTCAGGTAAGGTACACAACCCAACCCGGTCCAATCCGAACCGCGGTTTAACATAGTTTTTACTTTTTACGGTTAAAGGTTATTACGGTATGTAAACCCAAATAAATAAATCACTTCCGAATTTTCTTTCCTTCCCCGCAAGTGTCTTCGCCTTCAGCAAAGACTCTTCAGCTCTCTTCTCTAGCCCCAGCTTACGAATTTTTAACAATAAGCATTCACTTTCTTCAGCAACATTTCGCCTGCTGCCTCTTTGTCGGCGATGTGCCTCAGGTAGATATGTGGCTTAAAGAACCTCATGATCCAAGACGATGCGAACTTTTGCCATAGAAACGAAGGCTTGAAATAAGTTACAAAGCGTGAGAGCATTCCAGCATCGTCTTCAACCGCAACAGGTGCAACTCGTTCTTCCAAAGACGTTGACAATTGATCAGATGTCGACAATAAGGCTCTTTCGTATCGCTGGGCCATCGCACGCTCAGCGCTTACCATCATGATCTTTAATTGAGATAACTCACTGGAGATCAATAGAGTGACGCATGACAGCAAAAGGAAGCATAGACGACGTGGTACGATGCATGTCGCGGTCATTGGCAATTAAAGTGCTTGATCGTCTTGAAGGAAATTGAGGAATGAATCACAAGAAGTGCGTGAACCAGAATTTGTGCAAACACATCTTCTGGCTCCATACAGTCCCTATTTAGAAAATAGAGGCAGCTCACGACCAGACCAGAAATATGGAATCAGAATTGTAAACGTTTCACAAGGGCTTTGCCAGCACCTTTTGGGATAAAAAGAAGCAGAACAAAACATCTGCTCATCACGGAGAACGTTCCACAGCACAAGAACGCAAACGTGATAGCAGCAACGTTGAGCTTAAATCCAAACGTCAAAATAGAAGGTGCGGGGGTCGTTCAATCGCTCAAAAATAGATCCTTCATCAGCTCATTTCTTCATTGTTGTCTCAGCGGCACAGCCTTTAGCTTCAAAATAGTTTGCTCGTGTTTTTGCAGCTCCAACCTGAAGTTTTTAAAGCTGGCAGCAGTGCCTCACTCCGTTTAAAATGGAAGTGCACCACTTTCACACGCTCAAACGTCAGCCAGTCTCTCCTTGTTTCTGCTGATTCGAACACGACCAACTTCATGTTCTTGTCATTCATTAATTGACTTTGAGCTCTCGACTGCCTTCACTTTTTTAAAAGTGAAGGATTAAGACGCCTTTGAATTTGCAACATCTCTGGCATTGTCGAGAAAAACGTTCAGCTCGGCTTTAAAATGACCGCCAAAACATGATTGACCGTCGACAACCTCAATAGCATCTTAAATGGAACTGCATTTTAGAAAGAAGTCCACAGAAAGAACTCTCCATCCAGCAAGAATTAGTTGTCGCCCATCTTGGGGGAATAGAGGACATCAAATGGGGTACACACGACAGGACCCGGATGTGCTGAATTACATGCTGGCGAAATAGTCGTCACACTATTATCGAGCATTCTTAGCAAAATGCACTTTTCTGACATTTTGATTGGGAATTGCTTCCAGGATAAGGATGTGATGATCAGTCATTGACACCTGGCAAAGAAAAAAGCTTTGGTGGTCTACCTCGGGTTGGTAGACTTGTTTAAATGAGAAATTAAATTGGTGATATGAGACTGCTACATCTTAATGCGGACGTCGTGATGTCTGGGCTTTTGAACTAGAATCAAGTTTGAGTGTTTGAAGAAAGAAATGAGAGCGAGCGTGCTAATGTTTAATCTTCTTCGAAAGCTCTAGAAAAGAATAAAGAATATCTATGGTCTTCTATCCTATCTATCTTTTTTCGACGTTTGTTGGTGCTGTGTTTATAAGCGGTATGTGAAAAACTTGCACGTGCCGAAGTAAGGGAAATACCATCAGTCCAAAACCTCTTCATAAATGTGTATGGGCAGCACAGTCACAACAAATCGGTAATCTCTTCTACCCATCACACCTTCACTCTTTGTACCCATGTAAACGAATTGCGTACAGTACGATGTATTGTGTACAAGTAGACAATGAGCTACTCTTTGAAAATTTGGATTTTTCATCTTAAAAGATTATCTCTGGGAGCGATAACGTACCTTTTACCGTTATGTTAGTGCAGCAAGTGGTAGACAACGTAATTGCAGCGGGCTGCTGTAGCTATGCGCTCGAGGAAGCGAACTTTAGGTCACCGACCTTTCGTTCCTTACAAAGCAAAGTATGAGTTAGCGGATCGCAATCCGCTTACTCCAAGAGTAATTATTGCCTTCAATTGACTCTTCGATTAAAATCTAAACTGATTTTTATTTATTTTTATCTGCGGCAAAGCCGCCTAATTTTATTTTCCTAAATAAACTAGATATATAATAACGAAATATAAATTCATGCATAACTACTGGCTACCTAGCCACATACCGTATTCTTGTTTGGGTGCAGTCACACCATGCGTATCTCGTGTGACACACACACCCTGTTACCAGGGTATGTTTAACCCCGTTACAGTAATTGTATCAGCCAATATCAAAAACTTGAACGAGCAAATCTGGACTACGCCGAAGGGGATTCCCACTGGTCTCGGTGAGACGTAAAACCTTTATAGAGATGAGACGGCGAAGCCGTTTATGATATCTGCTAGACGACCCTGACCCAGGGTGTCTATCGTAGATAATAGCGCACGGCTATAAATATCTGTTAACGGTATGAAAGAAGAGGAAGACGGCGACGTACCATCGAGGCTATTTTTGCGATGGGTGCTCTTCTTGAGATGGACGAGATAGCCTTCGAAGGGTTTAGCGGTGCCTTGAAGGCAGTCAATTTGGTCGATGTGGTCATTATAAGACCGAAAATGGATTTTACCTCGTTGTCGCTTCTGGTTAAAAGCTGTCTTAAAGGACATCAAGAGAGTGCCGAACGAACGAAGCGGATCCTTGATTCCGAAGGAACCCTCGGATCCGTACTTTCCTGTGGTAAAGGAATTTCAAGATGTCGACTTCAAAGACCCGCCGTCGGTCCAACCTCCCGACCGAGGTGTGCGTCATGAGATTGACCTGGTTCCGGGAACCAAACACTGCGTAACAAGCCAATGGGGACCTGCCCAAGGAGCAGCGTGACGTCATTGACGCCTTTTTTTCGTGTGAAGCATGACACAGGAATCGAGAGAGCAAGTCTCCCCATTCGACACCCAAGTTTCATGTCCAAAAGCCGAACGGCAAGTGGCGTATCGTTCACGCTTATGATAAACTAGATGCTGCAACCATTCTGGCACAGACGCCGATTTCTAGAAACGCTGTTCTCCAGAACGATATGGTTGGCTGTTCACAGGACAGCGCACTCGACTTGGTCGATGGCCGCTACCAATTGTTTATGAGAGCAAGTGATATTCCGCTGACAGCGGTGAGTACTTCGAGCGGTATCCTCTGGAAGTGGATGGTGATGCCCCAAGGGCTGTCAAATGCACCAGCAACATTTATCGTCTTGTGACGCAACTGCTCAAGCCCATCGGCCGTATGCACAAACATACTTCGACAACATCTTCATCTACAGTCGTGCGGGGGACGGGAGGACAGATGAGGAAAACTACATCGTCTTAATGAGAGCGGTGCTCGAGTGCATGCGCACAATTAAGCTGTATGCTAATGCCGATAAGTGCATCTTAGGCGCTTTATTAGGAAGCATGGCTTTCCAGCTGATTCCGCTAAGGTCAAGGCCAGTGTAGACTGGCCGGCTCCGAAGAATCAAAAGGACTTGCGCGAGTGGCTTGGCCTCGCCAACTACTTGCACAAGTATAGCGCAAATTATGCGGAAATGGCATGGCCATTGTCTAAGAAGGATAAGGAATGGTGCTGGGACACCGGACATCGGAAGGCTCTTGTCAAATACAGCCTCCTTCATGCACCAATACTAGCGTGGCTAGGCCCTGATCGTCCTTTAAGTGTCGTTTGTGACGCTTCATACTTTGCTATCGGCTGTGCACTGCTGCAAGCAGACGCCGAAGGGCGATATTGGGTGATCACATTCGAATCTCGCCAGCTTCAGGCTTCGGAGAAGAGCTACCTAGTCCAAGAAACTACTTGCGGTGAAGTATGCACTTGTAAAGTTAATTGTGCATCTGCTTGCCTTAGGACCGTTTGTGATCTACACAGATCATGTGTCATTGCGCACTGCAACTCAGTCTCCTCACATTTTGCAGAGGTTAGATAGGTGGCTCTCATTCTATGAAGAATATAACTTCGAGGTGAAGTATAAGCCAGTAAAGCAGAATGTTTTGGCTGATGCGTGGTCACGCAGGCCGTATTCTGAGCATGCTCACGTCACGACAGTGATGTCGTCGGTGACGGATTCGATTCGCGCCGCATACGCGGGTGATGGTATGTGTGTAGCGCTGATACAGGCTCTTGGGAGCCAGGCTTTGGAGACCCTGGCAAGAAATTGTCGGCGCGGTTTCGCGCACGATTACACCGATATTCGTTGAAAAACGGGTTGCTGTATTATAGCACCGATTCGACCGATACGCAATAAATTGTGGTTCCTCATGACGAGAATTTGGAGTACCGTATCCTCTACGAGGCCCACGACACCCCGCTCAGTAGTCATCTCGGTCGTGAGAGGACGTACCGCTCAGTTAGTTGCCACACTGGTGACCCAAGAGGTACAAATGGACGAGCATTATGTGCGCACGTGTGAGCTGTGTCAAAGGGAGGATCTCTCTCAGAATGCGGCGACGCCGCTCGCCAGTTCACCGGTTACGTCCGAGTGTAGGTATCCCATGTGTACGAAC